TGAAGATGTGTGACACTGACTTGGAGATCCTGGATGCGGATAGAGTATAGACTGATGCAGTGTTTGCCAGGATGAGAAATTGAGAACTTCATCTGTAGTGATGCCAGTAAGATGAACTCATTTTTGCATCTCTGGCTTGTTTCTCACAAGTTATCAACTTTATACAAATGACAATCTGTACATCCTTGATATAACCAAAGACATTTTAGAATTGCAAGGGGTTCCATTCCATCAACATGCTGTTGATGTGTAAGCACAAAAAGAATGCAAAACTCAGGTTCCTGTGAAATTGCCATGATTCTTTCATCCTTTGGCAGTCCAAGCACCCTGATGTCTTTTGATCTGGAAACAGATATCAAGTATGACTGCCTGGAGACAAGATCTGGAAACAGATATCAAGTGTGACTGCCTAGGTAGCCAAAGCTGATCGTTGACTGGTGACACCTGTGAAACTGATTATGTCCTAAGAATGGTACAATGTAAACCATATCTGTATTAGATGTGTTACTGAACAAGTAATTTGCATGTGGAATATGCAATTCAAGTGCCTGGATAAATCTGGAAGTGCCCTTCAGTGCTAGACTGTCTCCCCAGAGTGATTCTGGTGTACTCTCATCAGCACAAATTGCAAGACATTGAGGGGAAAAAAACAAGTTGCAGAGTGGGCAATATCTGTAGAAGAATCTGAGGAGATGGAAGGTGATAAAGCTAGTATAGGAGTAAACACTCATTGATGCTAGCGATATCCGTTTTGATGTCAGATTCATTCATTGCTACTAAAGATAGCAATGCAAGAACTACATTCAATACCTATTCCTTGTCCAGTAACCCTCACCCCTAGCAAAGAACTGACCGAGAAATCCTGAGAATAACCAGCAATCCGTTACATATCCTGCTCTCAATCCATAAATCATTGTTTTACATCAGACTGTGTCATGTCTTTCATTATCAAGTAAAGGAAAAATATACTTGCCACCTAGTAGCTAAGAATAGGCACTACAAGAAAGTCATGAAAATAATAAATTTTGTGATTGAAAAGGAAAGGTTAGTTATGGAATATAAGTACGTATAGCCATTTTTACAGCAAAATTCAAGTTCTTTCTGGACAGCGTGTCCCAGATCATCATCTAAATGAACTACCAGTTAGCAGGGCTTTTGGGGAGCTGTGTCCAAGAAGACTTCGTAAACTTCTGCAGTGCATCTTAAAGACGGTGCACACATCTGCGATGATGAAGTGAGTGAATGTTTGTGGATGTGGTACCAATCAGATAGGCTGCTTTGTGTTAGATTTCTCGGTGTCAAGCTTCTTCAGTGTTGGAGCTGTACTAATCCAGGCAAGTGGGAAATATTCCATCATATTCCTGACTTGTGCATTGTACATGATGGTCAGCCTTTGGGGAGGTTGAAGATGATTTACTGGCTATCGCCTGCTCTTGTAACTACATTATTTATGTCCCTAGCCCAGTTTAGTTTTAGTCAGTGGTAGCCCCAGAACATTGATAGTGTGGGATTCACTAATGGTAATGCCATTGAATTGATATTCAATGATGATGAAGAAGGTGATGATGAAGATTCTTTCTTGTTGCAGATGGTAATTGTCTGACATTTGTGTGACATGACTGTTACTTGCCAGTTTTCAGCCCAGGCCTGATATTGTTCAGGTTGTGCTGCATTTGAACTCAAAATGCTTCAGGTGTGAGGAGCCACAAATGGTGCTGTACATTGTGCATTCCTTCAAGAATTGATTCTTTAAGTACTGATTGTTTATAATTTGATTATTATTTCCATGAATTAAAATGAAAATCAATCTCAATATATTAATTTTAGCCACAAAACTTCTAGCAGTGTTGCAATGATCTACTTGATGTTTTTGTGCTGACTTGATGCATTTTTGTATGAAGCACTGCTGGCTTCTTCCAGTGTACTGTAATTGAACTGAAGTGATGCACACCAGTTTATCTCCTGCGTACGTAATGATGTTGAAAGTACACTTTCATGTACTAATCACATGAACAAGCTGATGCAATGGATACCAAAATTAATAATCAGAAGTGCAGGCTTCATCTTTCTTATTCAGTTCAGAAATGATAATTGTTAGGAAGCAAGATTACTCTTTCCTGGGATAACACAGTGTGGAGCTGGAGGAGCACAGCAGGCCAGGCAGCATCAGAGGAGCAGGAAAGTTGACGTTTTGGGTCAGAACCCTTCTTCAGAAATGGGGGATGGGGAAGAGAGCTCTGAAATAAATAGTACCAGAGGGTTGCAGTGGGAGAGAGATCCACTGAGGTCTTTCCGGAGGGAGGAGGATAACTTCTTCCAGGTACACATCCCTAGAAGAGGCTTTGGGATGCCTACCTTGAAGAAGTTATCCTCCTCCCTCCAAAAAGACCTCAGTGGATCTCTCCCCCACTGCAACTCTCTGATACTATTTATTTTAGAGCTCCCTTCCCTCTCCCCCATTTCTGAAGAAGGGTTCTGACCCAAAACGTCAACTTTACTGCTCCTCTGATGCTACCTGGCCTGCTGTGCTCCTCCAGCTCCACACTGTGTTATCTCTGACTTCAGCATCGGCAGTTCTTACTTACACTTTCCTGGGACTATTTAATGGGACGCTGAATAAGTAGCACTTGAAGTGCACTTGACTTCTACTGAGACAAAGTTTGTGGAAGCACTGTGGTGATTTGTTGGTAATTTGGGGGCAACACGGTGGCTCAGTGGTTAGCATTGCTGCCTCACAGCGCCAGGGACCTGGGTTCAATTCCACCCTCGGGCGACTGTCTGTGTGGAATCATAGAATCCCTACAGTGTGGAAACAGGCCCTTCGGCCCAACAAGTCCACACTGAACCTCAGAGCATCCCACCCAGACCCATCCCCTTATAACCCACCTAATCTATACATCCCTATGGGCAATTTAGAGTTTGCACATTCTCCCCATGTCTGCATGGGTTTCCTCCGAGTGCTCCGGTTTCCTCCCACAGTCCAAAGATGTGCATGCTAGGTGGATTGGCCATGCTAATTTGCCCGTGGTGTTCAGGAATGCATAGATTGGGTTGTGGTGGGGTGGGTCTGGGTGGGATGCTTTGAGGTTCGGTGTGGACTTGTTGGGCTGAAGGGCCTGTTGCCACACTGTAGGGATTCTGTGATCGATGATCTATGAACTTGGAGATATTCACTCTACATGTTCAGGTAGGAAATTTACAAAAGGCCCATGATGAGATACAGTCACTGATATTACAAAAGGATGAGAAAAGTTGTTGCAATACTTCTTGGCTTTGCAACACAACCAGGACATTTTAAACCTTTTTCTATTCATTCATGTGATATGGGCATTGCTGGCTGGGCCAGTAATTATTTCCCATTTCTAACTGCCCTTGAACGGAGTGGCCTGTTAGATCATTTCATAGGGCATGCTCCATGATGCCACTTATACTCTCATTATGCAGCTCCTGTACAATCTTCTAACGTAGCACATGTTGCTGGACTGGTGAGAAAATCTCTGACCCGTTGAACAATGAGACCTGCACCCACAATGGTAGCAGTTTGTACTCATCCAGGTAAGTGGGAAATATTCCATCTTATTCCTAACTTGTGCCTTGTAGATGGTGGACAGCCTTTGGGGAGGTTCAAGACGATTTATTGGCTGGACAGTGGTGGTCAAAGATATTTTGACCTCCACCTGAACTTTCACTGGAATGTTGAAATGTAGGGATGACTTTGCCTGTAATGCAATAGACTCTCAGACAGTGATCAATAGATTTTGGGTCAGTCTGATATTGCCGCTATGTTGGAGCCCACCACTTCCATAGTGGAAAGGATGCGTTCCAAGCGCTGCAGAGTACTTTGTCACAAGTGAAACAGTGCTCCTTCGATGCTCCCAGCCATTGATTGGAGGCTAACCGGCAGGACAGTGCACCAAATGTTTCTGGTTTACAACAATAGTAGTGTTTTTCTTTAGTCTTCCCTAATGAGATGCGCATCTGAATCATCTCCTGCAGAACTGGTATATGACGTCGCCATTATTGGGATTTGCACAAGAACTGTCCTGTGTCACTGGCCTTGCCGCAGCCTATTTGTCCTGATTGCTTAACACGTGCAAATCCCGATTAAATTAGTCTTTGAGACAAATCTAGTGACAGGGTCTTAGCTGGTGGCTGAGACTGTAATGTCAAGTGACAGTGTTTCTTTTATAAAGGTCTGCTGAACCTGCAGAAGCTGACCAGATGGCAAATCCTGGCCACCATATAATCTGATAACACAGAAGTGGGAGGGCTGAGGGAAATAAGTTTGTGGTCAGTCCATCTGTAGAGTCCATTAATGGTGCCTTTTAGGATGAAGACAAAGTGAAGGGAAGAATCAGCGACTCACTGTCGTTCAGGAGAGCCATTGCAATGCCTAGTGCCACAGTTATTCTGACATTGTTGCCTATTGTCCTAAGCACTGTTTCCTTCATGGTGATGAGCTGATGAAACCACCTGTTCTTTAGGTTGTCTCTTTGTTGAGGAAAAATCTTCTCCTGCAACAGGGCAGATTTTCCGTGAATGTATGTCATCCTGGGCCTTTTGTAAATTGTGTCCCCCGTGACAGGAAATAGATCAAATAAATTTCAGGCCTATATTTTTCTGATACTCATTTGCTTTTGACGGCTCGAGTTATGTTAATTTTATGGTGGAGAAATAAAGTCTTCACGGGAAAAGTAATTTGTGTGAAACCTCAGCCATATGGATTGTTCCTAATCTTTTGTTTTGTATTCTTGATGGACTGTTTAGACAGTTTAATAATGTACATCTTTTTAACACAATGAATTTTGTAACGTGCGAATACCCATGATAATTGCAACATGCATTCAACCTTCATTTTATTGAAATCATTAAAATGTTATATGTTGCTCCTCAGAAGATTGGTAGCCTATAATTGCACTGATGAGACTTGCAAAACTGTGAAAAAGGTAGTATAACAGAATATGCAATGTTTCATTTTATATCAATTTTTTCCCATGTAGGATGACGGGCAGAGAATTCTTCACTCGATTTCCGACACTTTATCCCTTCCTCCTGAAACAACTGGAGATGGTGGCAAACACAATGGACAGGTAAGAGACTAAGTGTTTACATTTGACAGTTTGTGGAAACTTGGCTTGGAACTGTTTTTGGATCATCAGGCTTATCATTGGAAAATTTATTATGTTTTACAATTTAGAACGTGAATATTAGAGCACAAAAGTGACCCCGTTTTGTTTGTGTTCTGTTTTCTAGGACATTGCAAAATTAACCCCACTGTCCTGCTCCCTCTTCACCTTGTAGATTTTGCTGTTACTTTGTGTTTATCTACTTTTTCTTTCTCAGTGTACCATCCCATATTTGGATATCCATATGAATAAAGAATTTTCTTTCTCTTCTCACTCTTTTGGGTGAAGATATTAAATTAATGTCCTCATCACTGACATCCCCACAACAAAATAGTTTTTAATATTTAGTCCATCAAAACAGTTCCCAATACTTCCGTTCAGTATCTCAAGTCTGCTCATAACAATAGTTACAATCTTGATAAGCCTTTGTCTCTATTGCTGTCATGCTACACATATACCTTCTGCCTTTTCAAATTACTGAATACTGTGCCCTTTTTCCTTATTTCCCTCTCCCACGTCCTTCCTCCCTCCAGGATTGTTAAAATTGTGGTGAGGATGTTTATTCTTGGTACTATTCTGCAATAAGATTTTCTTGACTGAGTATTTTGAAAAAGGAATCAAGATATGGATCATTACAGATCAAGAGCTACAATAAGCCTGTAATGGTAGGAAATTAAGTTTTGACTGTAATTTAGTGTGGCATTTGTAGATCTGAAGATGAATCTGTTGAGATTTGACTAAGAATGTTAATAAATAGTCTTTTAGTAGTACAGAACTTGAGCATTGCTGAAAAAAAACTTGGCAAAGTTTTTCACTTTGCACTCATTAGGATAATCTTCAGGAAATACCAACCTAAAAGAAGAGCATGCTAATTAGTTGGCATATAAATTCTGACTAAGGTATTGTGTGGCAAATGAACCAGTTAGATCATGAATGACAGTTAACTGTCAAATTTTATTTAAATTTAAACTGGCATGTTGACCCCGGTCAAGGTATTGCCCTAGGAAATGAACCAAAGGATGGCCATCACTGGTTTAGTCGAGTTGAAATGTGTGTACTTGTTCTTTCTTTCTGCAAAGAAGAGGGCCGTGTATATTAAGATATGTGTACACTAGAAGCTACAAGTGCTCCATACTGCGAGCCTGACATTCTGAAATTGTTTGGAGCACTCTTGCTAAATAATCCAGTGTCTACTTGTGTGGAATCACATCTAATATTGGACACTGTTTTGAGTATTGTAACCACAGACTGTTGGGTACGGTCAATACCTTGCTTATTCTGAACAACCAAAGGGGTTTATCGTTTTATGTGAACTGTCAGCTTTTGGGACATTTGGAGTACGTAATTAACATCACTGAAATTTGTGTACCATATTTGCCATTTGTGTGATAAGCATAATGTTGTTTTTGCTTGATTGTAACAACTTGTTAGTAGCAATTACCACGCACATCAGCAACATGAACCAGATAGCCTCATCTGTTACTCAGACTTTTGAGACATCTTACCTTTCCTAGGTAATCTGAGATAGACTATACACTTTTTAGGACCAAAAATGATATAAGAAGCAGATAGGTTGAGGCAGCTGTGTCAGGGAAGTACAAGTGGGCAGCCTTTAAATGGACAAATAACTAAGAGAACATGAAGCCAGAAGATAAACTACTGGTCAAGTAGGATACAGACATGATGCTTGATCTGTTCTACCTGCTGGAGTATGTGCCAAGTTTGCAAAGTTTATTGTGAAGCTAAATGCTTACCTTTGGTCTGGTCAGTAATTTGCTGACAGAAATTTTGATACATATAAGACTGCGTGTGGTCCAAAAAATCTGAGAACGCTGGTGCATTGGAGACGTTGAGAGAAATAAGGGGAAAAAATAGATATGAGTGTCATTTGTACCCATGTGCAAGCTGACTCCATGTCATTAGCCAATGTAGCCAAGGGACATTAAGAAGAGAAGATCAAGAGGGATCCTAACTAAAGATGCACAGATGGAGAGGGAAACTATTGCTTGCAATGTTCTAATTATGATTGGATAAGTAATAAGGGGAGTTCCACTATACTGGACAATGGTAGAAAGACATAGAAAGAAGGTGTTGTCCTTAACTGCAGCAGTGAGATTAAGTTAATGTGCATGTAATATCTTATATGCCCATGGAATGTTACAAAGAACTTCACAAACAATTGGACCGAAATCACCGTTATATAGGCAAACACAGAAACTAAATTGCAGACAGCAAGGCTCCATAAACAGTAATAGGATGAAAGAGCAGATAATCAATTTTCATTATTCAGTTCTGATGAAGAGTTACTGGTCTTGAAATATTGATTGTGCTTTCTCACCACAAATGCTGCCAGACCTACTGAGCTTCTCCAGCAATTTCTGTTCTGTTTCAGAATTCCAGCATCTGCAGTTCTTTGTTTTATTAATCAATTTTGATGTTGCTTAATGAGTAAATGTGTGCCAAAATAACTGTGCTCTTTAAATAGCACCAAGAGGCCTTGTAGAGCTACTTGCACAAACAAAAGTAATAATGTGTATTTGTAAGATGGAATTTTAGTAGCCACAAATTGCTAACATTTTTTTCCACTTCTGTAATCTGGGACTACTGTGAGTTTTATGCTGTTGTATGTTAAATTTGATCTAATGTCACTCATTAATGTGAATTAACCAAAATGTTCCTTTGGCCAAATATTAAGAATCCCAAAAAGTAACAGCACTGTTGTATTACATCTCTTCATTATACCTGTCATGATTGGAAATATTCATTCTTGTTCCCTTACCCCATGTGTGTAGTGATTCTGGTGTGCTGAAGCTCCATCCTAACCTGTTCCTGTTGCTGCTTGTTCTGGGTCGGTTATATCCATCACCCTTAGATGGCACTTCCTCGGCTCTCAGTCTCGCACCCTTTGTGCCCTTCATCATAAGGTAAGGCACCTATAATAAGTAAGCTTTTGAATTACAAATTTGATGCATTGCAAATGTGCTTTTATATGTTTTAATCAGATTCTTTTAACTAAGGTTTTTTTCATGATTTTTTCATTACAAGATGGAAACTCAAACAATTATGCATCTGCATATGTTACCATTATCTATATATAGACCTATTACATAGTATAAATTACCTTAATTAATATATAGCTGAGTGAATGTTGAGTTCGAAATGCAAAAATTGCTACTGTACTAATCTGCATTGCTCAAAGGTAGGGGATCTACCACCTCTCTTTTGAGCTATAGATTAATACAGTTCTTTGTGCTCTAACAGTATGACATCAAGTCTGACGATGAATGTGGTGTGTAGGTTACACATACATTAAATGTTTGAATAACAGGCAAATATAATACATTATTTACATAAGGACATTGAAACTCTACCATTCAGTTGATATATATGAAGTTACTTGAGCCTGATCAGCTAATTTTGGAATATATCAACAAATAAGAGTAAACTGTCAATGGTCAATGATAGTGGGAACTGCCGATGCTGGAGAATCTGAGATAACAAGGTGTAGAGCTGGATGAACACAGCAGGCCAAGCAGCATCAGAGGAGGAGGAAAGCTGACGTTTCGGGTCTGGACCCATCTTCAAAAATGGGGGAGGGTAAGGGGATTCTGAAATATCAGACAGATCAAAGAGGTGGGGTTGGAGCCAGTAAAGATGTGTCGGTGGGGAGTTAGGGTGGGAACTTTGACCTGTCTGTCTCCTATCCACCTATCTGCTCCTTTATCCATCTTCCATCTGCCTCCCCACCCCCCCCTCTCTATTTATTTCAGAATCCCCTTACCCTCCCCCATTTCTGAGGAAGGGTCCCGACCCGAAACGTCAGCTTTCCTGCTCCTCTGATGCTGCTTCGCCTGCTGTGTTCATCCAGCTCTACACCTTGTTATTTCTGTCAATGGTCAATGCTAGCTTAAGAAGGTATCCTGTGTAACTTTGAATGTTAATTGAAAAATGAATGTTAATTGAAAAATACATGTTAGCATAATTCTACGCTTTAATAAATTAGCATACATAAACGGACAGTTTACATTCAAAAGGTTTGCTTTATTTTGACTAATGAAAATAACATTTAGAAATTGCATTAACCTTCAATATGAATCTTGAAATCTCGTTACCATTTATTCTAATTATTAACATTGCTTTTCCTTTCCATTTACTAATCTACAAATGTTGAGCCTTTTTAAAGCTGGCTGAAGAAGCATTGATAATTGGCTAGAAAATCTACATCTGCTTTTCTGTATCGACTCCTATTTTATTTAAAAGTCCATAGATATGTGATAGTAGTTTGCTATTTTGAGAAACTGAAAAAAGGAACAGTTATTGAACAATATGTATATAGTTGTATTCCTTTTTTCAGAAAAATTGCATTTGAATTTGAATCTATAAGTAGTGGATGTAGGCACAGTTGGAAAGTTGAAAAGACATTTAGATAGGCACATGAATAGGAAAGGTTTGGAGGGATATGGGCCAGGAGCAGGCATGTGAGACTAGTTTAGTTTGGGATTATGTTCGGCATGGACTAGTTGGATCAAAGAATCTATTTCTGTGCTGTATGACTCAATGTAGAAATGTTGCTGTTCTGGACATAGTATCCAGAGTACACTGTTATATGACTTGGTAAATCTGAACCTATAAAGTTCAGGAACTCCTAGTCAGTGCCATTTGAAGAAACGTATTTCATTGAACTACATGATTTTCCCAGGCTCTTCCAATTTGTCAAAGTGATGTTACTTACATTTGATTTGGTAAGAAAAACAGTCTCTTTGCGCACATTCATTTCTAAAAATTTGTTCAAGGGATTTGTGTTGCTATCTATGCTAACATTTTTATTGCCCAACCCTCTGTAACTTTCGAGATGGCAGCTCATTTTCTCAACTTGTAGGTGTACCCATAATGCTGTTGATAGGGAGTTCCAGAATTTTGATCCAGTAATTGTGAATAAATAGCAATACAGTTCCAAATTAGGATGGTATGTGGCTTGAAGTGGAACTAGTAGATGGTGGTACTTCATGCATCTGCAACTGTCATCCTTCTAGACGGTAGAGGTTACATTTAAAAGGAGCTGTAGAGGCAGCTTGGCAAATTGCTGCAGTGCATCTTGCAGATAGAGTTCAGTGCTCAATGGTGAAGGGACAAATGGGGTCCAGTCAAATGGGCTGCTTTATCCCGAATGATATTCAGCTTCTTGAGTGTTGTTGGGCATTTGCTCATCCAGGCAAATGCATCACTCTGAATTGTACCTTGCAGATGGAGGACAGGCTGTGGGGAGTAGGAACATAAGTTATTCTTTACTTGTAAAACTTGTGCTAGAATTCCTAGCCTCTGGTTAGCCCTTGTAGCCATAGAATTTCTGATGGTTCCAGTTCAATTTCTGATCAGTGGTAATCTCCCCCAGGATGCTAATAATGAGGGAATTCAACAATGGTGAGGTCACTAAACGTTATGTAGGACAGTTAAGTTCTCTCTTGTGTTATAATCCTAGCTGGTGTTATTACAGACAAGTCAGATCCCAGACTGAAATCTTGCTTGATGGATCACTTTTCACTGTTCTTAATCTTATCACATGATCCTTCACTGAAAAAGAAGTGAGCAAAGCTGCTGATTTTTAACAAAAAATGAATTTATTTTACAAAAGAAATTATTATGTAGAATAAACCAAATTATTCTCTCTCGGCACAAATGTAAAGGTTTCAAAATACCATAAAATACAATCCCATTAATCCCAAAAACACTCTTTTACAATACTCTGTCTAGAGAGAATTCCTTTCTCTTTCACAGGTATAGGGCTTAATTTAATAGTAACTTCAATTTGCCATCTTGAGGATCTGTTAGCTTCTTCCTGGAGCCTTCATACAACTGAGTTTAGATTCTCTCAGTTTCAAATAATTCGGGGATGACCCCTGTCATAAAATTTAGCCCAGTGTTTTTAATTGCTTTTCTGTTACATTACCGTTGCCGAACATATTCCAATCACTAAATTTAATTGTTCCCTTAGTTCTTTTACCCCATCAGTGAGTGTTCTTTACTCTTGGAAATGTCCTCTGTAAAATTAAAGGATCTGGCTTTGTCACAAACTTGTGTAGTCTTGTACTTATGTTACAATCACTGAAATCCAAAAGTAATTAATGGTATGAAGGACCTTTAAAAGCTGTTCCTTGTTTTTTTTTTACAGTTTTGCAGTTTTGAAGAAGTATTAGAATTTAGAAATATGCTTTAAAATTTCTGCCTGCCATTGGACCTTCCTGTCTTTGGTGCTTCCAACTTCATGTAATGTTATAGAATTAAACAAGAAAGAGTCTAGACGTTGTCCTTTTATGTTCAATGGCATTGCCATTGCTGAATACCCCATTATCAAAACCCTGAGGGTAACCATTGACCAGAATCTGAACTTGACCAGCCATATACATACTGTGGCTACAAGAGCATTTCAGAGCTGGGAATTCTGTGGCGAGTAACTCATCACTAATGCCTGCTTACCATATACAAAGCACAAGTGAGGAATGGATGGAATTCCATGTGCCTGTATGAATACATCTCTGACAGCACCTGAAGCTTGACAGCATCTAGGAAAGTAGCTCCCTTGATTGGTATCCTGTCTGTCACCTGTAACATTAACTCACTTCACCACCAATGCACAGTGGCAGCAGAATGGAATGCAGTAAAGATTTTTCAGATGGATTTCTGAATGGCAAGAATGATTTAAGTGGAGAGGTTGAATTGGTTAGAATTATATTTGTTGGAGTTCAGCAGAAGAGTGGGGGGGGGGGGAGGATGTCATAGAAACTTGTAAAATTCTAACAGGACTAGACAGGGTAGATGCAGGAAGAATGTTCTTGTCAATACAGGAGTCCAGAACCAAGGATCACAGTTTAAGGATTCGGGGTAAACCATTTAGTACTGAGATTAGGAGAAATTTCGTCACCCAGATGGTGGTACGATTAAGGAATTCACTAACCAGAGAAAGAATTTAATGCCAAATATTGTATGATTTCGAGGATGTAGCACTGGGCTAAATGGGTCAAAGGATATGGGGGTTAAAGCAGGAATGATGATCAGCTATGATCATAATGAATGGTGGAGCAGGCTTAAAGGGTGTAAGGCCTACTGTTGCCGCTTTTTCTCTATTGCCATCCACAAGATGCATTGCAGCAAATCACCAAGGTTCCTTGAGTAGCGTCTTCCAAATCCATGATCTCTCCAACCTAGAAGGATATGAACAGCAGATGTATGAGGACATCACCACCTGTACATTCCCTTCCAACACATTCTGACTTGGAACTATACCACTGTTCCTTTACGGTCACTGGATCAAAATCTTGGAACTCTTTTCAGAAAGCACTGTTGGTATTTCTACGCCCCAAAGACTGTAGTATTTCAAGAGGGTGGCTCACCACCATCTTCTCCAGGGCAGTTAGGCATGTGCAATTAATGCTGGCATTGCTAACATGCCCACATTCCTTTGATGGAGTTAAACCGAGTATGGTTTGTTTTATGGTATTTACAATACAAACCAGTCTAACAGCCCAAAGAATATTAACACTCTACTTGACTTTATCGAAATGTAGGACCTAGTTGACCCAGCGAGCCTGGCTTGTCATTCAAATGACATTTGATTTGATTTATTTATTGTCACATGTATCTTGTTACAAATTTCGAAGGAAAGTATGGTGTCACCACTGTCTGGAGCCGTCTTGAAACACAGAAAAATAAACAAAAACACAAAATATAAAGGCAGAAAAACATGGAAGTAAAGCAAGTGTCTAACTTTACAGTCCTTCTTGTTAAATGCTTTGTCATGGGCCATGGCCTCGTGGCCTTTTTAATGTTAAGCTTAAAAAATCATGCTGCTTTTTTTTTTATCATGGTATGCTAGATTTGTGGATTGCAGTTACTCCAGGTATCTTTCAATTGGACTTAATCAAGACCA